AGTTGGATGGCAGTTGAGGATCCTTCCGTTTGTCGGTAAATTTTGGAGAAAGATGTCGTGTTGTACAAAGTGTCTGGTATTCATGCGCTTAGCCGTAAGAGTGGGGCCGTCGACGGTAGGTTCAGCGGCGAGGTGGCAGAGGGCGGTCGGGCCGACGGCGGCGGCGAGGGCGGTGGCGGCGAGGGCGGCGGCGACGGCGACGCGAGGGCGGCGGCGACGGCGACGCGAGCGCGGCGGCGGCGAGGGCGGCGGCGACGGCGACGCGAGGGCGGCGGCGGCGAGGGCGGCGGCGACGGCGACGCGAGGGCGGCGGCGGCGAGGGCGGCGGTGACGGCGGCGGCGGCTGGTAGAACTAGCTCTCGAACTCGTTGCTGAAGCCGCACGCACGGTACGAGGAGTGCAGGGTGGCGCCCACCACGTACGCGGCCGTGCTGTACTCGGTGTTGCACGCGGCCGGGTCGACGTAGCACCACTCGTGCTCGACCCGTGGAGGCCGTACGTGCCGGGGTACGCGAGGCTCACGCCGTCCGCCGTGACGACATGCACCTCGCCGCTCACGAGGCTGACGCCGGCCGGGTAGGCGGCGAGGCACGGGCAGCCGAGCGGCGGCGAGGGCGGCGGCGGCGAGGGCGGCGGCGACGGCGACGCGAGGGCGGCGGCGACGGCGACGCGAGCGCGGCGGCGGCGAGGGCGGCGGCGACGGCGACGCGAGGGCGGCGGCGGCGAGGGCGGCGGCGACGGCGACGCGAGGGCGGCGGCGGCGAGGGCGGCGGTGACGGCGGCGGCTGGCAGAACCAGCTCTCGAACTCGTTGCTGAAGCCGCACGCACGGTACGAGGAGTGCAGGGTGGCGCCCACCACGTACGCGGCCGTGCTGTACTCGGTGTTGCACGCGGCCGGGTCGACATAGCACCGCTCGTGCTCGACCCGTGGAGGCCGTACGTGCCGGGGTACACGAGGGTGGCTCACGCCGTCCGCCGTGACGACCTGCACCTCGCCGCTCACGAGGCTGACGCCGGCCGGGTAGGCGGCGAGGCACGGGCAGTCGAGCGGCGGCGAGGGCGGGCGGCGGCGAGGGCGGCGGCGACGCGAGTCCGGCGGCGGCGAGGGCGGCGGCGGCATCGGCGGCTGGCAGAACCAGCTCTCGAACTCGTTGCTGAAGCCGCACGCACGGTACGAGGAGTGCGGGGTGGCGCCCACCACGTACGCGGCCGTGCTGTACTCGGCGTTGCACGCGGCCGGGTCGACGTAGCACCGCTCGTGCTCGACCCGTGGAGGCCGTACGTGCCGGGGTACACGAGGGTGGCTCACGCCGTCCGCCGCGACGACATGCACCTCGCCGCTCACGAGGCTGACGCCGGCCGGGTAGGCGGCGAGGCAAGGGCAGACGAGCGGCGGCGAGGGCGGCGACGCGAGGGCGGCGGCGGCGAGGGTGGACTGCTGCGGCATGCCGAAGATGGCGACGCGGG